ATACTAAGTTATTCCATATTTATAACTGGAATAACATATTTTAAATTTAATTTACTTTAATTTAGACATGGGAATATTCTCTTCTACTCTTAATAGGGTAGCAGTATTGTTTTGAATTATTCATTTCCTTTTCTTGATATTTACACTGAAATGCCGTAAAAATACTAGAATGATTAGAAAATTTATGGTATTAAAATTTATTAATATCACTTCTATTTTTCTTTTTCCATGGAAATAGTTTTATAAATAATGGGTGATACTAGAACTAAGATAATGCATAGTGATCATTGCATTCAAAATTTATAATTTCCTTTGCACAATTCCACATTCTTACAACAAACACAAAATTAGATTAAAAGATAGGAAAGTACATATGATATCCAATTATTTGGAAAACCAGTATGAATTTGTCACTTACCACAAGTTTATTTTCTAATGCCTGGGACCATCCAGCACCTCACTGAAATTTGGTAAAAGTCCCTAATTGGTTAAATTTGGTTTTTGGTAAAAACACACACTGCATTATAAACATGACAAAACAGCAGGTTCAGAGACTGTGCAGCAAATGATATGATTGGGATATCTCTTTACCTTTTTGGAAAAAAGCTCTCATAGGTTTGCTCTAAAAACCAATTCCTGCTAAGATGACAGCTGGTAAACAAGAAACAACAAGAGGGAAAAGAGGGAGGTAAAATTTTAAAATGAGATAAAATGGAGTAGTAGGAAACAGAGGGAGGCAGAGAGATAAATGGACAGAAGTGATTGACATAGACGACAGTTAAAACACAGACAAGAAAATGAGGACAGTTTGCAATGTAGGATCCGAAAGCTTTGCATATCGCCTTTGCTTTTAAGCAGATTACCGCATTGTGTTGAAAGTTTTTTTTTTTTTTTTTTTTTAATAACTATAGGACAGTTCTGCAATCTTGGGATTATTCATTGTCAGAGCTAGATAACCTCTAGTTGCAATTGGAGTGCTGGATGATTGACTGCCCACCTGTTCCGGATGAACAGAAAATGCTGAAGTCTGGGTCCTAAAAATTTGTGAATGAAATAGCTGTATGCTTCTTTGTGGGGGCCCTTCTGACAGTATTGGGTCCTTCCTTTTCCCCCAGGCCATACACTAGCCTCTTATGTACAGGTTATATCATCCATTATGAGATCTCATCCTAGTCATGCAATACATTTTTGCTTCATTCAAAAACTAATGAATGCAGTCCTTTCCTGCTTCCTTAAAGCACTCCATTGACTGTACAATGAGATTCTGATTACCACACCCACTAACCCATCTACTCCCAACGTATAAATATTCCATCCCTGTAGAAACACCTGACAAAAGGAGTCTTTTTTTTTTTTTGAGACAGGGTCTCGCTCTGTCACCCAGGCTGGGGTGCAGTGGTGCAATCACAGCTCACTGCAGCCTCGAACTCTGGGCTCAAGCCATCCTCCCACCTCAGCTTCCCAAGTAGCTGAGACCACAGGCACATGCCACCATGGCTGGCTAATTTTTTAATTCTTTGTAGAGATGGAGCCTCACTATGTTACCCAGGCTGGTTTTGAATTCCTAACCTCAAGTGATCCTCTGGCCTTGGCCTCCCAAAGTGCTGGGACAACAGACATGAGCCATGATGCTTAGCCATGGAGTCTTAAAGTTATAATCTTCCTGTCATTTTTCCATTCCTACTCTCAAAAAATGTTGATTACTTCCACTAAATCGTCTCTTGTGCAACTACCTGAAAATCCCAGACTCCCTATAATTTTCGTGTCTGTAACCCTCTGAGAATAGTGTGGTACTGTGCTAACAGTATGATGGCTTATGTTCATAGTAATAGTCTGGAAGCATCAAGAACAATTCAAATTATGTTAGCATACTAAGATAAGGTATTATATGTTTTAGAGAGGTTTTCATCCAAAACAACTTTTATATTCCAGCACTTACGGAGTTTAGCCTGGGTTACTGAGAAAGTTCACTTAGAGAAAATAGCTCATTCATTTATCTTCCAAATAGTATTAGATACTTAGTACATGTAAGGTTAGATGTTTCATTAAATATGCACAAAACATATGGAGACCAAACAATGTAGCCTAGAGCAAGTACCACCATTTCTTCATATTTATACAGTCATATATGATCAAATCTTGTATGTGATCAAAATATATATGTGATTTCAAGGATCATTGTTTCAAAAAAATGATACGACTATACTATATGTTCCTTGGATCATTGTTTTCAAAAATAATAGCTCTATAATATATATTTCCTGTACCTGTTTTTCTCATTGATAATAATTCATGGAAATTTTTCCAGTTCAATAAATACAGATGAAATCATTTATTTAGTAGCTTTATAATATCCCATGTTGTGGCTATACTGTACTATATTCAGCTTTCCCCTTGATAGGTGTTCTGTTTGTTTTGAGACTTTTCTTCAAGCCTTTTTTTTTTTTTCATGTGTGTATATCTGTTTGTTCATTTGTTTTCCCAGGAACTATGTATGTTTGGTAACTGTGGAAAATCTGGGTTCTAATTCCTGGTCTAGCCATTTCCTAGTCATGTGAGGTTGAGCGAGTCCTCGCTGAATCTGTTTGCTAATCTGTAAAAAAAAAAAAAAAGTCAGGTAATAAAACCATCTCTTTTCCTCTGAAGTTAATGGAAGATCCAAGTGGGAAAGTAAATATAAAACTACTTTACAGATTATAAAGATGGTTTCATTAAGTCATGTTTATTTTATGTTTTTATCTTAATTGCAGCAATTTTTCATAGGTAGGGAAAAGGTAAATAAGTACAATTAATGCATTTTTTTTCCTTTCTATTAAAGAATGGAATGACTCCTCTAATGCATGCAGCATATAAAGGAAAACTTGATATGTGCAAACTACTTCTGCGACATGGAGCTGATGTAAATTGTCATCAACATGAACATGGATACACAGCCCTCATGTTTGCTGCACTTTCTGGTGATGTTTGAGCATTTACCCTATTTATTAATATCAATTACCTGTACAAATTTGTTACAAGTACATACATATTAAAATATTAAATGTATTTTCATCTGAGTAATTTTAAGATCGAGCTGTATGCAAAGGAATAGTGGAAATTGGTTTTTGAAAAGCTAATAATGTATGAAATGAGTTATAGTTAATTTGGTGATCTGTTTCTTTAGTTATTTAAATAAATTGATTATTTATGTTGATAACATTTTGGTAGAATTGAGAAAATGGATATATTATTCTTTCAAGTTAGTTCCTTTGACATTCTTTATCTTTAGATTTTGAAGCAATATGAACACATCTTTGTTCTCTTGGTCAAATAGCTGCTGTGATAGAGCTTTATTTGCCTTGCTGGAATTTATATACTAAATATGATGATCCATTTAGAAACTTACCTTGGTTCATGTTGTTTATTATTTGCTGAATAAGCACAATTGAAAAATATCTGAAATCAAGTAGAGTTATCTATAATTGTTGCAGTTCTTTAAGAAAATGCAGGAACAATATAGTATTCTTGTACTTTGAAAACTGTAACCTATATTTTCATAATCCTGGAACACAAAAGCATTTTAAGCATTATATAAAATATAGAATCCAAATAGGATGACATTGACCAGTTTGATTACATAAAGTTTTAACATTTTCACATATAGATTATGTCATAAATAGAGTTAAAATACAAATGAAAAAATAAGGAAAATATTTATTACATATCTTAAAGAGTCATATTGTTACACATGAAGAGCTCTTCTAAATCCATTAGAAAAGCCAGGCACAGTGGCTCATGCTTAGAATGCAAGCTACTTGAGAGGCAGAGGCAGGAGGATCACCTGAGGCTGGGAGTTTAAGACCAGCCTGGGCAACATAGCAAGACCCATCTCTAAAAATATAAATAAATAAATTAGAAAAAGATAAATATTGCAATAGACAGAGAACAAAAGAAATACTACTGGCTGATCAACATTATATTGGCAAAGATTAAGAACGAGTGATAATGTCCAGGTATTTCTTTGCACTGTTATGGGGAATGCATATCAGTCCAACCTTGTTGGTAGCTTGGCAAAATACTTTTTTTTTTTTTTTTTTTTGAGACAGAGTCCCACTCTTTTGCCCGGGCTAGAGTGAGTGCCGTGGCGTCAGCCTAGCTCACAGCAACCTCACACTCCTGGGCTCAAGCAATCCTTCTGCCTCAGCCTCCCGAGTAGCTGGGACTATAGGCATGTGCCACCATGCCCGGCTAGTTTTTTCTATATATTTTTAGTTGTCCGATTAATTTCTTTCTATTTTTAGTAGAGACGGGGTCTCGCTCTTGCTCAGGCTGGTCTCGAACTCCTGAGCTCAAATAATCCGCCCGCCTCGGCCTCCCAGAGTGCTAGGATTACAGGCGTGAGCCACCACGCCTGGCCAATACTTTTAAAATACGCGTAACTTTGGATCCATCAATGTTTCCCAGGAACAGTTTCTAAGAAAATCATAGTTCAAACTTACAAAAATGAATGGAAAATATTGTTCACTGAGTGGAGTTTATAAAAGCAAAATGTCCATAATGATTTCATCAGGGGAAGAATGTGAATACAATAACAATGGATGTTTAGATAGAAAAAAGTCTAAAAAGATAGATCCCCAATAGTTAATAGTTATTCCAGAGCCTGTAGGTGTTAGGGATGGGATTGGTTAGTAGACATTTTACAGGGACTTCTATTCATTTTATCTTTTCTGTCTTTGTTTTTAATATTTTTTATATGTGTGTTTTGATTTTATACTAAGCATTATCACTAGGAAAACATGTTTCATTTTGTTTAAAAAAGTGATTTACAATTTCATACCCTTTTTTTACTGCTTGGTTTATTTTCCAAAAAATAAGTTTAATTTCTAAGTCTTTTCTACTATGTACTGTAGTTATGATTCATATTTTGGAAAAATTGGAAATATCCACACGACAGAAACCAAAACCAAGTGTTTAAATTGTGCACTCCTTAATATTACCAAATATATTTCTTTTTAACTATAGGTAATAAAGACATCACATGGGTAATGTTGGAAGCTGGTGCTGAGACAGATGTTGTCAACTCTGTGGGAAGGACAGCAGCTCAGATGGCAGCCTTTGTAGGTGAGTTTTTTTGTTTGGGTTTGGTTCGGTTTGGTTTTTAAAAGGGCAGAGTGGGTGAGTTTTTGCTGTAGTTTTACATTATATTATGCTGAGAAAATACCACTTTGCTTCTCAGGGAGCAAATACTGTCATGTTTGTTTTTTAAAAAGCAAAGTATTTACAGTCCATTTTAACTTAGTGAAACATCTAAAGACTCTTTGTAGTAAATGAACAACTATTTTGAATTTCCACTTCGTAAGATACAAAGAGTGGTGGGGTCATTTTTCTTGCAGCCAAATGCTTGGAGCAAGTATATTTTACTTCTCTAATGGAAGTAGTTAAACCTAATGTTTAAGAGTATGAAATGTGAAGTTAATAATCCTGAGTTGAAATTTTGGCTGTGCCACTTAGTAACAAGGTACTTAATGGTTCTAACCTTTGGTTTCCTCTTGGCAAAATGGTCACAGGGTTATTGTAAAGATCAAATGAGATGATAGACTTAACTTCACATGTAGCACTAAATAAATGGTATCAGTTACTATTGTTAATAATTATTACGACGATGTAATTCTTTCTTAAGAAGGAGTGTTTATAATACACAGCGGCTTCATTATCATCCTCATCAATCACAAACATTTATTTTGTGTGACCAATAATTCTTGGCATGTTAATTCTGTTACCTGACATTTTATAGGGTTCTAGGGGAGAGTAGGAGTGAATACATTGGTAGTTTGCCCCTATTGAATTGGCAGTTAAGAGAGTCCATTGATAGAAAAGCCAAGATAGAAACATCTGATTTATTAGGAGTGCAGTAAGTGGCTTTGTGGGGACTAATAATTCATTAAACAAAACTTAATGTTCACAACCTATACACCAAGCATCACTCCAGGGCCTTGGTTACAGTGCTGAACAAGACAGAGGCTGTTCATGCTTTCATGGCACTTAGAGGCTAATAGCAATGACGGTGAAAATGAACTCCAAGGGAGAACTTAAGAATTCCATAGAAATACATAGAAGAGGGGGATCTTCTTCTATCCCATTGCAAGGGGGTTTTGAGAGAAATTACACTTAAGCTGAGATACCGTAGGAATTAGTCAGGGATGGGGGATGTATACAATAACTGTGTATTGTATTCAATTGTATTATTAAATTTTCTTGAAACTACTAATAGTAGCTCCTGCTGATTAAGCCAGACACTCACTCAGTTATTTTATATGACAACTTTGTTAAAACAGATATTCTTATTCTATTTTAATTCAGCTTCAGGAGGGTTTGAGAAAGGTATGGCCTTGTTGTGTAAACTTCAGAGAAATAGTTTATCTCCCACAGTTAGGGGCCCCAAGTTTCTCTCCCAACTCACTTCTAAGCTAATTTTGAGGATATCAGTGCAGTGGAAAAAGAACAGTACATCTGGAGACTTGCATTTTAGCTCATGTCTGCTGATGATAATTAGTTACAGGATCATTGGCAAATCCCTTCATCTCTGTTGGCCTCAATTTTCTGGTCTGTGTGCAATGAAGCAGGGGAATTAGATGATCTTCAAAGTTCTCTGTAACTCTACAAGTTTTTGTTATATTCAAGATGTAACAAAATGGAGCTCAGACAGAGGTTAAGTAACTTTCCTAAGACGCAGGGCTGGAAATGGAGGAGTCTGTTCTTTCAACCATTAATACAATGCTTTTTATTTTTTCTTAACACTACAATATTAACGAAAACCTAATGTAAAAATTTTTCACCATCCCGTCCTAAAATAAGAGTAATGTTTTCATTCCATTTTAATCTATTTAGACTAGTTTCACAAACAGAAAATTACATTACACCCTTCCAGTTGATACTATATTTTCCATATAATTAGCCTTTTAAAAAACATATTCTGCCCTTTTTGTTTCCTTCAAGTTAATCAATGAATATACATGTATACATGTGTACACACATATACAAGATTTCTGTCATTTTTAAAACATGTGATCAGTCATGCAATAAATACTACTTGTGACTTGTTTTCTGTACTTACCAGTACATCATGGAAGTCCCTCCCATCTCAGTGGTATAAGTCAATTCAGTTATTTCAACAGCTGCATCATTGGCCGTGCGCGGTGGCTCACGCCTGTAATCCTAGCACTCTGGGAGGCAGAGGCGGGTGGATCTCTCAAGGTCAGGAGTTCGAGACCAGCCTGAGCAAGAGCGAGACCCCGTCTCTACTAAAAAATAGAAAGAAATGATCTGGACAACTAAAAATATATATATAAAAAAAAAATTAGCCGGGCATGGTGGCGAATGCCTGTAGTCCCAGCTACTCGGGAGGCTGAGGCAGGAGGATCGTTTGAGCCTAGGAGTTTGAGGTTGCTGTGAGCTAGGATGACGCCACGGCACTCTAGCCCCGGCAACAGAGCAAGACTCTGTCTCAAAAAGAAAAAACAGCTGCATCATATCCCATGAGATAGATGTTCCACGGTTCATTTCAGCTTCCCTTACAGGACAGATTTTACAGTTTTTTAACCACTTCACTACAAATGGTATAATAATCATCCTTGATCTTTTTTTTCATGTTAGTACTTTAACATATTTTTAATATGTAATTTGTTTCCTGGAAGTAAAATTACTGAGACAAAGGTATATAGTCTTAATGTAAGTCTGGATTTCTTTCCAAAAGGGGGTAGTAATTCACATTAATATCCTCATCAAAATTAGATATTATCATTCTTTCATTTTTGCCAATCTGATAGTTGAAAAGATGATATACTGTGAATTCTTTCCCCTCATTATTCATGAAATTAAGCTTCTTCTATTGTTGGGCATTTGTATTTTCTCTTCTGTGTGTTGCCTGCTCATATTCATTATTCATTTTTCTTTTGGGTTGTCATCTTCTTAGTCTTCTTACTGCCTAGAGATCTTTATGTATATCATGGATGCTAACTCTTTATCTAACAAATGTGTTTAAAATATTTTATGCCAGTCTTGTTTTTCTTTTGACTCTATGGGGACTTTTGCCACAGAAAATTTATTTTTAAGTAGTCATATTTTTTCTTTTATAGCTTCCATATTTCTTATCTTGCTAAAAGAGGTCTTTTGGACCAGGATTTATACAAGTATTCTCCTAAATGTTCTTGAAATTTTTTTTTTTATGATTTTTTTTTTTTTTGGTACTTCTAGAATTTATCTGTTTACAGTTCCTTTTCCCCTGTATATATAGTTAATTGCAATGGCACCATTTGTTAAACCACCTAACATTTCCCACTGAATTGAAATACCACTTTTGTGGCAAGTTAAATTCTCTTTTACTAAGTGGTTATATAATTATTTGCAGAGAATTAACTTCTGTGTGATGTTAGAATTTCCTATCCAATTAAATAATATGACTTTATATATTTTTTTGGACTTATTTTTGGTCTTTCCATAATATTTAGTAGGCCCTTTCTTTTACAATTTATTTTTAGTAATTTGCAGTTCTTGTCCACATTGTAAGGAGAAGTCCTACCGCCACCTCCACACTCTGTCACTTCTAGCTGGTTATGAGTAATAAACAGAAAAGCTATTGATTTCTATATTATTTTCTTATCATTTTTATTAGAGTTTCCTGGGTTTTCTAGCTAGTAAATTTCATTATGTTTTCTATTTGAATTAGCTTCAGGCTTCAAAGTAAGAAGAAATAACAATAGTGATAATTGGCATGTCTTTTTTCTGGTTTTTGCTGAAAACATTTTTAGCTTTTTACTTTTTAATATGATATTGCTATTGGTTTTATCATTGCATAATGTCCCTCTTTTTCTTGTTGAGTTCTTTTAGTTCAACTTTTCCTGCTATTATAGCCATTCCTGATTCCATTTTTTGTTTTTGTTTTTTTGCATTTGTCAATAATCTTTTTGCCCATCTCTCTATTTTCAATCTTCATCATTTCATTTTAGTACTATAACTTATATAGGTCGGTTCTGTTTAATAACTCAGAATAATAGTTTCTCTTCTAATAGCTGTTTAGCTTATGCATATTTAATATGATTACTGATATACTTGATTGAATTCTTCCTCTTTTACCTCATGTTTTCTCTGTATTTTACTCGGTCATTGATTTTGCACATGTGTATGTGTATGCACACATATGTGTTTCCTTAAAGTGATCCTCTTGATTAAAACCATACAGTGCCTCATCCCCCGATCCCAAGGCCCTGTATTTGCCCATTTAGCAACCCCCGACAAGATGAAATCCTCATAACTCAATTATTTCTCCACAGTCTCTGTTTTTGCCTTGTCAGGCCATAAGCCTTCCCTTTCTGCCTCCTGCCCGACTTCCTCAGAGCCTGTGCCAGTCATGCTTTTAGCTGTGGACTCAGCTGAGAGAGTTTAGTATTTTTAGTAGCAGTTGTTATTAGAGTGTCATTGACAGGGTGTTGCTTCTCTTTCAGTAATCCTCACCGTCAACAGTGTCATCTGCCAGTCATGTGTCTTCTCCCATTCAGATGAACTCCCTCTGGTGCTCTCCACTCCCTCTTTCCCTTTTCCCATTTCGGTCTTGAGATGTCTGTTTTCATTTAGGTTTTAGTTACAGGACTTCTCAGATGCGTTATGAAGGTTGTATTCTTTGAAGCCCATCAGAACAAAACTCTCTTCCTCTCTGAAATGTGAGTCATATCTTGGCTAGTTTCACGACTTGTATCAGTTCTTTTCTCTCAGTCGTGTATAGAAGTTACTCTACTGTTTGCTAAACTCTGGTTGGGCAAATCAGAATTCAGTTTGTTTTCTATTACAAACTTTTCATTTCTCATTCTGGAACATTGTTTGATTTTCCATTTATCCTTAAAAGTAAGAAACTTTACTAGGATACATTGAGTTGTATGTGTGTGTGCATTTATATTAATTCTGCCTAGGACTCAGTGAGCCCTTTAGGTCTAGAAGACTCAAATCTAGTAATTGTAATACTGGAGCAAAATGACGTACTTGCTTTTCTTTCCTCCACAGCATTTATTTTCTGTATGACTAGTACTGTTTTATTTGTTTGCATTCAGAATTCATAAATTAAAAAGCAGTAAAACTAAATATTTAATAATTTCAGTTTCAAAAATTTAAACATAAATTTTCAAGTAAAAGTGATATTCACAAAGATAAACTGTAAACATACATATTATTCAAATATAAATTTTTAGCAGATTAAAAGAAAATAAGTCTTCTAAGTGAAGTATCACAAGAATGGAAAAACAAACACCACATGTACTCACCATTAAATTGGTACTAATCGATCAATACTTATGGGCACATAGGGAAGTAACATTCATAGGGTGTCGGGCAGGTGGGAGGACGGGAGGTGGGGATGGATAAATCCACACCCAACGGACGCAGTGCTTGCTGTCTGGGGGATGGGCACACTTGTAGCTCTGACTCAGGTGGTGCAAAGGCGATTTATGTAACCAAAGTGTTTGTACACCCATAAAACTCTGAAATAAAAAATAAATAAATGAATAAATAATAAAATAAAAAATAAGAAGGAAAAAAGTCAAAATAATCTAGGAACTACCTAAAATGAAAAAGATTAATCTTGAAAAAAATAAAGTAATATTATTTTTTCTTTTCAAAAAGGAATAATTAAGAAATTGCTGGTCTTGTGACAGTGTCATTGTTATGTAACAGTTATTTTTATGTAGTAACACAAATATTTCCAACTGCTAATTGCTTTTTCTGACTCTACCAATTAGGGGACTGATGGGAAGATAAGGTTATGAGATAATTCCATAGTTTTCTCTGATCCCTTTATTTTCAAATCTGTCTCTATCTCATTTGATACTTTTGATGAGATGTTTTGGAACAACTTCTTGTTTTAATAGGAACATGTATCTTTTTATCAAAGCTGTATATAGATAGTGTTTTAAGCCTGTACAATTTGTCTTCATCTTCTCTTATTTCTTCACGTGCAGTTGTGAATTCCCACGCACAGTTACCTGTGTTGATTTTGATGCTGTCATGTTTTTAACCCACTTACTTTGGGAGATTTTTGTGGTCGAAGGTCGTTTTTCTCTCTACTTGAAGATTCTGGAGGAAGAGCTGGTTGTTGTCTAAATAGAGCACCTTGGCTCATTTCACATTTCTAATACAGACTGCTACTGTTTGACTTCTCCTCAAGATGTATGTAATAGAGCTTTCTGATAAAGAAAAAAAGGAAAGGAAGGAGAAAAGAAATACCTCCCCACTCTTCTAAAAAAGAAAGAAACTTGTGTCTTGGTACTTAACAATAGCATGGAGTACCAAAAGAGATATTGTGATCGCTACTAAATTCTCTTTTCACATCAGGGAAGTTTTCTTCTATCATTTGTTTAATTCCCCATCCATGTCTTTTTTTCTCTTTGGGACTTCTGTTATTTTTCATTGTTAGATTTCCTGGATTTGTTCTTCAGATTTTCTCTCTTCCATGATTCCTGACTCCGATTTTTGTCTCTGCTTTGAGATATTTCATCTACTGTTCTTCTACATTACTAATTTAGTTCTCAATAATGACCAGGATTACCTCTTTCAGTTTGCCTATTCATTTTTAAAATTTGAATCTCCCTGTAATTCTTGAAAGTCTATTTGTATACTATAATTGAATCTGCTTAATTGCTCTAATTTGTTAGCTGTGGTGGTGGTGGTTGTGATTGTTGTTATGGTGAATGTTGTCAGTATACTCCCAGCCCAAGGAAGCGTCTGTTGGAGGCATTGCATAGTCTTCAAAGATGCTGGATCTTGTGGGGTACTTTGCTGTGTACCTCCCAGGTGGTCAGGTAAAGCTGATAGGGTCACGGAGTGGTGGAGAAAAGGGCTATGTCTCTATACCTGTGGGGCCAGGTGAACAAACCAACTGAGGCATAAGGAAGAACACTTCCACTCCCAGGTTTTCCCAGGAACTCCCAGGGACAAGCAGAACCTTCTGCCAGCCTCAAGTGCCAGGGTCCAGCTGGCCCACAGTGCAATCTCCCTGCAGTTCACTTGCTATCAGCAGATTTAAGCAGACACTCCCAGGACCATACACAAGTGGGCTGGGGCCACACAGGCCACCCAGGGTGGACCACTTTCCGGGAGCCAGAGCCATGGCATCCAGGTGCTCTCCCTAGAACTCACCACTGCTGATCTCTCTACCCTCCACAGGCAGAGAGGAGGAAGTCTCTCCTCCAGAGATCCTGAAAAGAGCCTGCACCCTCCAGTGTGCCCTGCAGGTTCTGCCTGGTTGCCCAGAGTGGCCACTTCCTTGCTCCAGAGAGGTGTGGAGGCGGAGGCAACAGGAACACCCTTCCAGGTCACCAGCTTTGCCAGGGAAGGCTTTGCTTTGGTAGAACCATTTTTTTTTTTGAGACAGAGTCTCACTCTGTTGCCCTGGCTAGAGTGAGTGCCGTGGCGTCAGCCTAGCTCACAGCAACCTCAAACTCCTGGGCTCAAGCGATCCTCCTGCCTCAGCCTCCCGAGTAGCTGGGACTACAGACAGGCATGCACCACCATGCCCGGATAATTTTTTCTCTATATATATTTTTAGTTGTCCAGACCATTTCTTTCCATTTTTTAGTAGAGACAGGGTCTCGCTCTTGCTCAGGCTGGTCTCGAACTCCTGATCTTGAGCGATCCACCCGCCTTGGCCTCCCAGAGTGCCAGGATTACAGGCGTGTGGTAGAACCATTTTTAATGCAAGAGGTGCCTTAAAGATCTATGAGAAGCCATGATGTGGATTCCAAGCTTATGAGAGCAAAAGCTTTTTCTCTAATTCATTTCACAAAGAGGCCAATCTTTTCTCAAATTCAGGGGGAGGGGAGATTTAGCTTAACAATAATAATAATAATTATTATAATAATAAATATACTTTATATCAAGTAAACTTAAATATTGTGTAAATACAGCCAGATGTGATTAGGGAAGCATGACCGTCATTTGTGTAGGGGTGGAAGAAGAGACATTTAAATGACAAGCAACTTTTATAAAATATTTAGAGTCAATTATAAGTTGATCAGTGGTGTTTTTTTTGTAATCCACATAACCTTTATATGTATTGTGGATTCTGTGTCTTTAAAAGATTATTTCTCGACTTTACGATGAATGTTTATAAATGTTCTCTAAAATGTTTTACCTCTCCTCCTCCTCTACTCTCCTTTCCTGAAAAATAAAGATATTGATGCGTGTTTACTTCACAAGAAAACAGCAACGTAATTAATAAAAATCCAGATGACTTATTTTTAATAATAAAATTAATACAACTTTTCTATTTTTCTATTAAAAGGTCAACATGATTGTGTGACTATAATCAACAATTTCTTTCCTCGAGAGAGACTGGATTATTATACTAAACCCCAGGGACTGGATAAAGAGCCCAAACTGCCCCCAAAGTTGGCAGGCCCACTGCACAAAATTATCACCACAACTAACCTTCATCCGGTCAAGGTAGTGTACTGCTAATTGCATTTGCTTTTTATGTAAATATTGCTTCAGAGTTTAAACAGCTCTTACTATAGGGGATCCTAATTGGCTTGGGCTGGGCTTTGTAGATACAGAGCTTGCGATGGGTTCTCTTGGCTAATGGATTTCTTGAAAGAGTGCTCTCAGTGGAAGACAGTGAGGCAAACAGACTGGAGCAGAGGAAAAGGCGGGCCAAGAGGTTTGGCTAAAGCTTAGCTCCCACCATCCCACGGGGAGCTCTGAAGCGTAAATGGCTCCAGACAAGCAAGGGAGTCCAGTTTTTGTATCCATCAGGCTGTCCTTGGCTGGAGCCTGTCCCCGGAGGGAAAGGACAGTCTCCCAGATAGTACAAGTGAGGTAGCTCCCTTTGAATGAGGACAGTTCTCTGGAGAAACGGCCTTAGCAGCCCACACTCGGAGCCCCTGGGGCCTGGTGCACAGGCCTGATAAAGAGGAGCTCGGTGAGACATGAACCCCATTTATTACATTGTCTTTCTAGGAAATATTCTGAAATGTTATCAGAAGAACATTTTGAGTGCAAGTAGCCATTTGATGCCTTTAAGTAATATAATTCTTCCTGTAATTAGTCAAATGAAACAGATTTTCAAACTTTGTAGAGACTAACGCAAAAATTCAAATGGCTTAACTGGGAAACTTCAAGAGCCATTGTGAACAATTTTCACCACTATTTTCTTCAGATTCATTTAATACAAACTTTTGTTATTATTTGTGAAATATTTTAAAAATCAATCTAAACAAGCACACTGTCTTCAATGAATCATCAAAGAAATCTGCACAGCTATATGTGTGCTACAGTGATGTCCTTTTTCAAATTTCAATGTCTAGTATCTGTCTTCATTCATAGTGTAAGATTTGATAATATGTCAGAGCTGTTTGGTGAGCAAGATAGTAAGTCGAGTCAAAAGTTGAGGTTTTCTTTAATACAAGGTGTTACTATCGTATGGTAAAATAGGATTCCTTAGAAGTCTGTTACAAAAGAAGAATCTTATGGAATATACTGAGCACCGTTGAAATAAGTAGACAGGGCCAGGTGTGGTGGCTCATGCCTGTAATCCCAGCACTTTGGGCGATTGAGGTGGGAGGATTGCTTGAGGCCAGGAGTTGGAGACCAGCCTGGGCAACATAGCAAGAACCATCTCCACAAAAATTAAAGAACATAGCCAGACATGGTGGCACATGCCTATAGTCCTAGCTACTCAAGAGACTGAGGCAAGAGGATTGCTTTGCTAGAGCTCAGGATTTCAAGGCTACAGTGAGCTATGATTACACCACTATGTTCCAGCCTGGGTGATAGAATGAGACCCTGTCTCTAAAATAAATAAGTAAGTAGACAGTTCTTACAAAGTTACTCTTTTGAAGACTAACATTCGTTCGAAGATATAAGATCCAGGCCGGGTGCAGTGGCTCATGCCTGTAATCCTAGCACTCTGGGAGGCCGAGGCAGGTGGATTGCTCAAGGTTAGGAGTTCGAGACCAGCTTGAGCAAGAGCGAGACCCTGTCTCTACCAAAAAAAATGGAAAGAAATGATCTGGACAACTAAAAATATATAGAAAAAAAATTAGCTGGGCATGGTGGCACATGCCTGTAGTCCCAGCTACTTGGGAGGCTGAAGCAGAAGGATCGCTTGAGCCCAGGAGTCTGAGGTTGCTGTGAGCTAGGCTGATACCACGACACCCTAGCCTGGGCAACAGAGCAAGACTCTGTCTCAAAAAAAAAAAAAAGATACAAGATCCAAAATGTATATAACTGTATTATTTCATTGACGCATCCCTATGCATCTTTCTTGAGTCTTTGACTCTCAAGAAATAAACAAAAAATACCTATCTTGTGGTGCTCCACCCAAATTAATTTTCTGGGCCTTTAAGAGAGATGACAAGTTAGTAGATGACTTTCCCATCAGACAGAAAAGTGAAATCTGCAGTTTTTATTTTAGAAAACTCAGGGTTTTTCTTAACATTCTGTAAGAACTGCTACAAGTAGGCAAAAAAGGAATTCAGCTGTGAATTGCATGCTCATGTTTCTAGTGAAGATTGCAAGGGGCTTAGAATTTAAGCTTTAAAAAATATTTATTCTCTTCTGTGTTAGTGGTTCTATCCCCCTCAGCACATGTGGGGAAGAGCAAACTCCCGCGAGTAGCAGTGATTCCCTGCCTGTGGCACTGTCTCTCTTAGGCGTGGGACAGACAGCGATGGGGAGACAGGTTTTTTGTAGGGGTACAGCATTTCCCAATGTGGAAATTGTGTGTGGTTTTCTAAGACCCTTATACTCCTGCTGCCTGAGCATTGCAGGATATTCTGGTTTAGATTGATTAGAAGACGTTTTCCTGTATTTTTCTGACCCATTGGTCTTTTACGTGTACATTTCTACTCCTTTAGATTGCAGTAAGCGTTTGTGGAATAATTTTTGATGTTTACATTGAACCCAGTCTCTCAGGGTGAAGTGTCTTAAGAATTATTCTACCTTCAATTATCTTTAAAGGCATACACTCTGAGTAAATTAGATTAAGGGCATATTTATATAAGCAATAAATTGTAAAGCTATGTAATCTGAAATAGCCTACATAATATTTTTTAGAGCACTTAGTCTTATAAAAGAGACTGGTCTGTTACTACAGTACCTTCCTTCAGACTAGACCATGATTTTTATAAGTATAAACAATACTCACTTGAAACCCTTTCTTTTATCCATACTTTGGATATAAAAATTGCCCAGTTGTTCTTATTGTGGCCCATTTTTATTGTTCTACATCTTTTCAAGCTTGCATGGGTTTTCATATGGAGTAATAAAAAAAGTAACCAAAGGCCATTGTATAATGTCAAGCACCTTTTAAAAAAAAAATAAAATAAGCACAGATAACCCTCTTCTGGTTCAAAAAATAAAAAGAAAATAAGCACAGAAATGTTCCCCAACACACAACTCACCTTTTCATTACACAGCGCATCTAACACAGCTACATTTGTGTCTCGGTTAAGTGGCTGCTATAGCAACAAGGATGTGTTTGTTTTCAAAAGGGACTTGGGAATTGTGCGGATGCCCAGAGTATGAAAGTTGTCTAGAAGAAAAACAAAAATCACAGAAAAAAATGACAACAGAGCAGAGCAGGGTGTCTAAGTGGACAGGAGGCAGATGTGTCTTTGATTATTAATGTGATTTTCGAGCCCAGAATTGTAGATTTAGCAATTTTTAAAAATGGGATTGAAAAATAAAAGGAATTCAAAATTCCACTGCATAAACATACTTTCAGGTAGCAAGCAGTCCTTTGGGAGATAAGATTCATCTAGTTTTTTAATGCTGACAGGAATATATTTACTCTTCCTCAGTAATTAATAATAAGGATTTCCTTTATAATATATTACCTCATAATGCTGCAGAGATTAAAGGAAGGAAACCAGTACAAATATTATTCTTTTTTGTGCAGCTATATAAATATTTCAGTAATCTCATGGTAATGGTGCGGTTATTTATCATTTTTCTTGGTATATGTTTGTGCTGTATATTATAAAATAAATAAGGTCTCATGTCTCCAAATAAAAATTCATTAATCTGGGTTGTATTAGATATTTTTTTAAAAGAATTCTCATTTCTGAGTTTAATACTTTGATTATAAATGCCATATATAAAAATATTAATCAGACAACTTTAAATGATTATAGTTAGCAGAAGTGTATAACGAGATGATTAATGAGTCTATTCTTATCTGCCACAAATTAATTTTGATATATGTTTTGATAGAGGGAGTTATCAGCAAATTTACCAATAAGGATTCTGATTATACTTACTTCATTAAGTCTAACAATTCATTGTTAAGTAAGAGTTTTAGTAAAATACTGGGTTACATATACATCTACTAGTGTCAAAAATAAGTGGAAATCTTTTTTTAATTTCACAAGAACATTCAATCTGTGTTAAATTTCCAAATAGGAGGCTAGGCATGGGTTTTACTTAAGCTAACAAATGATCTTTCTTCATGCCTAAAGAAAAGACTCTAATTCAGGATATTTACCTGTTGTTCCCTGACGTTTTCAATCCCTGGTACAGGGATTTAGCTGTAACACGTGGGTTAGCAAATACTGATGGACTCTGCTCTGTGCATGCAGTCGTGCCCTGTTACATACTGTCCCATGCAAACCCACTTCAAATATTCTACCCTATAATAAAGCCAATAGAAAAAATGCTTATTACACTAAACTGGAGCTTAATCCGTGTATATATAGGAAATGTGGTACTCATAACACGTAAGATTTGATAACTCTCTTAGAGCAATTTATAGTTTTCTCTAACTATTCTCCTTACTGTAGATGATTGGAAGTATCTTCAGGAAAACTTCCATAGAGAAATGTAGTTAATTGGAAAGTAAAACACAGTTCATTTTTATACTTCTCTCTGAAAAAAAATTTCATTTTCTTATAATTAATAAGAATTAACAAGAATTTTAGTTCTGCTAGCCATGAAATTCTAGAGCCAAGTAATGTTAACTAAAAGTAGTTATTGCTCAATGATTTCATTCTATATATAAAGGTTGTGCAAATATGCCATGTTTATCTTTAGTAATAGTGCTTTTAACACAGGCAGTAAAACCAGGTACTCCGAATGGCATACTAATACTCTGGTTTAGCTAGGTGGAAGATCACATTTAACTTTGGTATACAAAGTTCAAGAGAGTCTGTGATATCAGGATCCTTCTATATTAGTTCTATAATTTTGATCAGGGGCAATTTGCATTCTAATTTGATTTAACATAGTAACTACATGATCCTAAGAAAGATTTCCTTTGGTAATCCTTTGAAATCATCCATACAGACTCTCCTATATTTGGAAGAGTCTCTCATGGAATTTCTAAGTTCACTGGAATTTCTTCTAGATCGTGATGCTTGTAAATGAGAATCCTCTGCTGACAGAAGAGGTAGCCCTGAATAAATGCTACAAGGTGCTGGATTTGATTTGTGAGAAATGTATGAAGCAAAGAGACATGAATGAAGTACTGGCTATGAAAATGCATTACATCAGCTGTATCTTTCAGAAATGCATTAATTTCTTAAAAGATGGAGAGAATAAATTAGACACGCTGATCAAAAGGTACAGTTTTTACCATGTCATGAATAAAATACACTCAAGTGGATAATGTGTTATTGTATAAAGCCTCTTCGTGGGTTTTAAAATTAAGGGTTTTGGTAGCAATTGCTATTGTTGGGATCACTTTTAGTCTGCAAGAAACTGGGAACAGTATCATATTTAGATTGAGTGATTATTCAGTTCCATACCCTTTACAGTGATGTTTTTGTTGTTATCACCAATTTACAGATGAGGACTCTGAGGTTTGGAAAGCTTAAATAGCATGTGTAAGATCATACAGCTAGAAAGTGGCCCAAGTCCACATTGAGAATAAGTATATTATGCTGCAGGTTGCAGCTCTGGGTTCCTAATGGCACTCAGGGCGTCTCTGTTACTGTTCCTTGGGGAGCTGGGTGTTATCCTTGTTCTTCGACCACCAGAGATCAAATTCTCTTGCAGCTTTACTGAGAAAAGGGAACTAAGTCAGAAGAGTGTGACTCATGAGAGTTTTCATTCTTAGTTGAAATAACTGACATGGTAATGAGTAACTAGTTAATCCGATAACAGTGTTTAGCATGTTTTATGATAAGGGGTCACCTTTGCATATTCATCTGAGGGCCTCCAACCTGATAAGGCCTAGCCTAACTTACAGCTTCAATAGCAATTTGAATTGAGACCTTCCTCACGATTTGAAGAGACAATTAAAATCTTAAGTAACAAAAAAGAAGCTAGCGAAAGCCATTGGGTTCAGCTAGGAGGGAATGCTTAGTGATTCAACTCCAATTACTCTTCAAAAAAATATCTTTCAGCTTGTTAAAAGGCCGACCTTCCGATGGCTTTCCAGTCTATCAAGAAAAGATCATTAGAGAAAGTATCCGAAAATTTCCTTACTGTGAAGCTACACTACTCCAGCAGCTGGTTCGAAGCATCGCTCCTGTTGAAATTGTAAGGCTCTTCTTAACTAAGTTGACTCTGTTAGTAAGACCTAATGACCACATATCGTATTGTTAAAGACAAATTGTCTTTAGTATTTATTTTTATTATTTCAGAAGATTTTCAGGAACAAAGGTAGAGATAAGTTTGTTTGCTAAATCTGTTTCTGTTTATCCATTTCCCGTCTCATGATCCTCTTCTTACATTTTTATAGTTCATAGTTTAATAAACAGTATTTCCCTATGTCGGAATGCATTATAGATGATTACAGTAGAAACTGACATTTTAAATACCTCCATGAAAACTGTAAAGGTCGGTACCCATCCACTATGTAATACAGGCACACACATCCACTTGTAGCTATGTGAATTACCCGTGCAGAGTCTTGTACTAGATGAAGGTACAATTGATTGTCTAGGATGATGTGTCCAGGCAGTGGGGATATATCTGGATGAGCCATGGGAAGGCTCATTGTGGCTCCCGCTAACAATCTCAAAGTGTGTCCAGCTTCCTAAAATCCACCTTAATGCCTCTGATTAGAAATTTTCCATACTTAAAAAAGAAATCCATTTATACTTCTCAGCTATGGGAAGTGTACTTTGTTGACTTTATTATCTGTTCTTTAAATTACTTATTACCATTTTGTCATATATTAAGTAGCATTTAATAAGACACTCCCTGCCTTTTCTATTTTGAATAAGTATCTGTTCACCTTATCTATCCCCATTTATGCTTTTTTTTACATTTCAATCAAATCCTTTATCAGCCTTTATCAATCAGACAAGAAATTGATCCTGAGACCAGTCCCACCCATGGCTTCCTCCCTCCCTCTGGCAATGTCAGCGCCCTTCTCTGCACCTTCCTAGGTGTGATATCATTCTGTGTGGAAAATCAGGGCTAGAAGTGAGTTCCAAGTGTTCCTTTATAGATTAAGACTTCACCTATTCTGAACCGTGAAATAAAGAAAGACCTGAGTAGACAAGACCATCTCATCAAGTTCACGCATTAATTTATTCATGAGAGCTCCCCATACTTTCACATAGAGATTTTTCACTCATATTTTAGTATACTTGGCAGCTATTTGATATTTAAGCTTTTGGAAGATTAAACTTAGCAAATTATAAGGGTGATTTATCCATTACAAATGTGTCTTGCCAGTACATATCAAATATGAATTACATAGATAAGGATTTATGTGTTCACATATACTCAGACGCCTGAAAGTAGGCATACCAGGGCTGACACAGTGGCTCAGAAATGCATGGGACACTCAAACACTTTCCCATCTTTCCACTCAAAATTCCTTAACCGTGTAGGTTCTCATATCATACACGTGCTTTTGACCTCATGGTTGCAAGGCATTTGACGCTTTTCCCCCAGGCTCACATTTCTATCCAGGCAGGCAGGAAGAGCAAAGGGTCTACGTCTGGAAAACCTAAGCTTTCCCAGAAACCCTCTGCCTGTGTCACATGACGATGCTTAGCTGCGCAGGAGTATTTTTGGCTTGTCTAAACGGTCTTGCTTTGAACAAAATTATGCTTCTGTTAGTGAGGCAGCTGAGGGAATCAGTGTCAGAGAAGCAACCAGCAGTACCTGTTATGAGGGATTTCCAGCACTGACAAATGATAGCTGACGTTCTACTGTCATGGGAGAAAATGGAAAAACTAAAAATAGCTGAGAGTACTAAAAAAAAAAAAACAGGCAAAGCAGGTCAGTGTAGGGGTCAACAAATCATCTTAGCCCCAGATGATAGAATAATGTAATTAGAGTTTATGAAGTATAATGATGAATATTTATCCTAGTGATCTGAGTCAAGAAAAGGTTTATAATATAGTATTTAATACATTTTAGAAAGAATTGTCTTCTAAAAAACTTTTGTTCTTTAAGAGTTATATATTCTACTTTCTGGAAAACTTTATATATCTCAAATGCTTGTGGTTATGAGTGTCCAGATTGCCACTGTTTTCTGCCTAAAGGGTTTTGTTATATATACTGCAAGTTTGTAAGCCTCTGAAATGATGCTGCCCTTTTCCCAGAACATGATGGTTCTCAGGGCTGCCTGCCATGAGCATCTCCCGTGTTACTTTCTGACAATGCTGATGCCTGGGGTCTCCCGCTCAGGTTTTGATTCTCTCTGCGTCGTGGAATTCTGCCTTCTGCCTGTCCCAGAGCTCAGCAGAAAGTGTGAGGCATGGCTAAGTTTAAAAATACTGCTCCAGCATTATAGCAGATTATACTGTTCAAGATGTTTGGCTTTATCCATCAACAGTGTGTATTTTAACTTCTGGGAGGCTAGCTAATGTCTCTTGATTTTATAGCCTACATTGAATAAAGCATCCTGTTTGTTTTCAGGCTGAATCTCTTTCCATGGCACGAGCTCTGGCACCTAGAAAGATTTATATTTAACAAAGTAGGTGACAATATTTTGTATAACAAGAAAGTTCTTATCACACAACAGTGACAGGAAAGATTCTACATGGTCACTCATCTGTACCACGGTTACTTTTTTCCAGAAGCATTAGTTCACATGAACAGCCATACTCTTAGCAAAATATCCTTAGTTTTAACTTCAGTCACATCTGTGAGAATGTTAATGTGTGCAATGACTCCCACAAATGTCCCATTTTGCAGGAGATTTTGAACATGTCTCAGGCAGTTTTGTGAAAAAATATTTGAACATGAAAACATAATTGTTGCAATGTCTGTTGAATACATCATACTCTGTTGATTTGTGTACCACACTGTTATCTGATCCAGTACTCTACCTTTGAGACTAAGGAATTATATAGATTTATAAACATTCAGTATAATATTAAGTACTGGTTATTCTCAAACTTAAACTGGGTTGTAGGTAATAATGCAGGTATGTAGGCCACACCCTCAAAAATTCTAATTTGGAAGGTGTGGGGTAGTGGGATGAATCTGAATTGTTAACAAGTTCTGTGATGTGCTTCTCCAGCATTTGAGCACAACTGCCATAGACCTTTACTCCTGATGAAATTATTAACTTCAGTATCTAATATCTGAAGCGTCATTTCACCTACTCTTTTCTCATCATTTTTCATTCCAAAAGAGAATTCTTAGCATTTTCACATAAAAACAAACTCAACCATTATTAATTGTTCCCAGGTGATATTTTTAAAGATCTACTATGTATGGCTGGTAAAATAATATAAAGATAAATATTCTCAGAAAGAAAAAGCAAATACTCAACTGAAAAAGAAAATTATGAAAAGTGGCCAAATTCTGGTTGGGAATAAACAAACATATGAAAAACTCAGAACAAAGAACTATTAGGTGTAGGTAAGAAAAATAGATGCCCTGTAATTATTTTTGCTTACTTAAGATAGGTTTTAATAGCATCGTCCCCGACAGATAAATATTTACCCTTATAATTTTCTTTGAAAAAAAATTTCATAGGTCAGGAGTTTAAGACCAGCCTGAGCAAAAGCAAGACCCTGTCTCTACTAAAAATAGAAAAATCAGCTGGGTGTGGTGGCGCATGCCTGTAATCCCAGCTACTCAGGAGGCTGAGGCAGGAGAGTCGCTTGAGCCCAGGAGTTTGAGGTTGCTGTGAGCTACGATGGCGCCACTGCACTCTAGCCGGCTGACAGAGTGAGACTCTGTCTCAAAACGAAACGAAACAAAACAAACAAACCAAAATATTTCATAATCCTCTTTAACAACCCTTTCTAATTTTCCAGAGCTCTATAGTAATAATTTTCACACTTTAGGTTTTTCTTAATACTTTGATGTAATCATATGTATGTTTTTTAAAGAGTTTGGAACAGTCCAATGATAAAGGTGATAACTATTTGAATTGCAGACCAACAACAAGTAACTAATTTTAAATATATTAAGTTTTTAAAATACTTAAATTGTACCAAACTTTAAGAATTAAGATAGTTAAATATTTGTGATGTGCCCTATAATTGTCATACAGAATATTATCTTGATGTCAATTCTCAGAAGAAAATTCACTCTGAGTTCATTGTCCTATATCTGAAATCACTGTGAGCTTATTGAATTATCCTAATTGAAAACAACTTTTATTCTAAAGTAGGGCCATGTTTTTTCTCTTTAATTATTGAGATCTATGACTTACTTCCTGTATGCTTTGTATAGAAAACGTTATACTTGAAAGGATATTTGTCATTTTGTTGTAAAGTCTGTGAAATCTCTAGCCTTAATGATTTCATCTCTTTTGTGTCAACATTGTGAGATAGTGTTATTCCTGGGGTGACATTTCTGTAGTCTTTCCATGGTGATTTCAGAGGTTTTTTTTGCCTCCTCTTCTAGGGTTCTGATCCCACTGCATTCTCTGTACTTACCCAGGCCATCACTGGTCAGGTGGGTTTTGTGGATGTTGAATTTTGCACTACCTGTGGAGAAAAGGGAGCAAGTAAAAGATGCTCAGTATGCAAAATGGTAAGAATGGAGTTCTTTCAAGTTCGTTGACTTCTGGTTTAGATTGCAGCCAAGCTGATGATCGAGTTTTAATATTCTATAAATATGACAGTTGACAGTTTTTTAATAAATTCTAGTACATGAAAATATTGCACCTAATACTTAAGTAGTTTTGGGAGAGAATTATGACATGAACATAGTTCTGTGTTGTGTCTGTCTTTTGCCAAACTACCAGTCTCCCTTAGCTTCAGTGTAGTCCACCTCGTGGAAAGAAAGGATATGAATGAATGAATATGAGAAAATAAGAGAAAGATTATCCATGGGAAAAGGAAACTGAGGCTGATGCAGATATGGAAACCTAGAATAGGACAATTCATGAATATACAGTCTTAACTCTTCTGATGTTGACTTTAATGACAGTCTCTTCATCAACTCTTCCTTGTGAAACTATGGCTTCCTTCCGACTGTCACCAGTCTTTAATCCCTATGAACTGCACTGTCCACTTCTGCCAGAATTATTTTCGTAAAGGGCGTATCTGATGTTTTTCTCACATCCAGATATCGCACACGTGTGTCTGTACATTTACTTAATCCCATAGGTAACAGCAATTTCCTGTTGACTTTAAGGTTGAAATTCTTCAGCATATTTTATGAAACCCATTAAAATCTGCCATAACCTATTTCTCCCGCTTCATCTTCTTTCGATACTTATTTCTGTGAACCTCAGTTTCCTTATATGTGACATGAAGCTAGAGTTGTGAGAATTAAATTAAGCTATCTATATTGGGTAACTGTTGATGCTTATACAAACACTCTAAAACTCAGTGCTTACAATAATCGTTTAGTCTTTCTCCCATGTTCGTGGTTGGCTGGCCTCGGCTGGGGCAGTTGTGCTCCTTGTGTCTCTCATCTTCCTTGCACCAGCAGGCGAGGCTGAGCATGTTCTCATGGCAATGGCAGAGGTACAAATGGGCAAGTAGAAACACACAAAGCCTCTTTAGGCCTAGCCTCAAAATTGCCGTGCTGCTCATGCTGTTGGTCAAAACAAATCACATGGCCAAATCCAAAGTCAAGTCTCCTCTTTGGTGCAAAGAACTGAAATCACATGGGAAAGTGTATGAATGCAGGAATGAATTGGAGCCAGTAATACACTCTGCGACATCATCTATGTGGAAGGGCCTAGCACAGTGCTTGGCATATAATAAGTATTTAATAAGGTTCATTCCCATCTCTTTCCCTCTCTCACTTGCAAAAATATAAGCTCATTTACGAAAGCATCTTGCTGTTCTTGAACATACCATTCACTTCCCTTGTGCATTTTTGTACAAGATATTCCCTCCACTTGGAAAGCTTCTTTCCCATTTCTCTGTCTACGCTGACGCCCCCAGCTAAAGTGAGTCACTGTTTCCTCTGTGCTCCCATTGCTGTGACATCCTGTGCTGTGTTATAAATCATGTCGGTAGGTGCCTTTTTGCCTAATCCTGCTCTGTCTTGACGTTAGCTTCCTCTGGGACAACAGCTGTATCTTTTTTGTCATTATGCTATACCAATTCTGGCACACAGAAGATTTATAATAAGCTATTTGTTAGAGTTTTTGGTAGGCAGTTTGTTATATATCCATTATAGTTTGAAAGTGTAAGCTAAGAAGTACAAATTTAAATCAATATACAGCCACACATCATGGTTTTTAAATAGGGTATAGAAAACTGAACATTTTTACAGCATAGCTCTTGGTTTAATGTTGTAGTTGGGAAATCATGCAATCACAGCTCTTGAAATGAAAATAAACCTACAATTGCTTTCAGGTAATATATTGCGATCAAACCTGCCAGAAAACACACTGGTTTGCGCATAAGAAAATCTGTAAGAATCTGAAGGACATTTATGAGAAGCAACAATTGGAAGCTGCCAAAGAAAAGAGTCAAGAGGAGAACAGTACGTAATAAAACCTGAGTTCACTCTGCTTCTTAGCAAAGAGAGGAATGCTAGATAGTACTAACACAGGGCACACCGGAACTGAGTCTTCTCTGGGACCCAGGAGAGCTCAGGGCAACCAGCCTAAGGATTACACTTAAACTCCAATGTGTCCCTTTTTTGAGTCCTTGGGATAATACGTAGAATATAGCCAGCCTAGACGTCACTGGAAAACAGAGACATAGAATTCTGAGGCATGTAGTTTATTGTACATTCTACATTCTAACTTAGGAGACTGCCCTGGAACAATGAGACTCTTACTGGGTATTCATTTGTATTCTGCTCATGAAGGATTTTAAGGTCTTTGAATAGGGAAATAATTAAATTCCCCCTAATAACTACCAGAAGATTTTAAGGTTGGAAGCCTTTAAATTTCTTAATTAAATTTTAAAACTACACATGAAATTACAGAATATACTTATAAATTACAGATTAAATTGCAGATCTAATATACAGATTAAAGTTCGGCAAGTATCAGAACAGTGTTTCATATTATTTTTCTCTCCATTCCTTGTGAGGTTATGTGACTCATTTTCATCAGCAATAGTGAGTGGCTTCCGCCTGATTCTCATGTTGGAGAGAAGAGCCACACCCACCCCCACACCCCACCCCAGAGCATATATCATATATTCTGGGGGAGTGTACATAGATTGAAAGAGTTACCTGGATGACTCTGATACTAGGCACTTCCACCTCCACCCCTCAAGGGGCCTTGTCTCCTTTACCACTTGGTTGAGAAACATGCTTAGGGGGATTAAATGATTATATTCTAAATCAAAATTAAACCATTTGTCATTAAGAGAATTGTCAGGCTTTCTGATTGCCATGCCTCCTCCTGTTTTCTGGACCAAACTTTTTTATTCTGTATGCTGAGGACGGAAAGTAACAACTGCTCATGTACTAACAAACCACTGTGGAAGATGAAGATTGCTCGTAGAGTGGGAACTCCCAGTTGTGAAGCGTGAGCCACGTGGCCCACACTATTCTAAATGTTGCAAACCTCTTTCTTCTTCACAAATGTGGGGTAGCCTTTATTACCCCTATTTTATAGATAAGGGAAGCAACCACAAATAGTCAATTACCTACCCAAGGGCATCAAGCTAAGTATTAGGAAAGCTGTATTTGAATGCAGGTTTTGTCAAATCCCAGTCAACAGTCCTGATTTAGAGACCGGGCTTTGGAAGCAGAGGCCTGACTTCAAATGCTGTTTTACTAGCTGTGAAGCTTGGAGCCAGTTACTAAACCCCTCTCTTCTCAGTTTCCCCTTTTATAAAATACTGAGAGTAATGACAGTAGAGATGATAATGAACCTTATGTAGTTGGTATGAGGGTTAAATAAATTAATACATGTAAAGCATTTACAAGCGTGTCTGCCACATGGTAGGAACAAAATAACGTTTTTTTTTTTTAACCAGATGTCAGACTTGATGTCAATTCTAATTGTGTTAATGAAGAGCAACCAGAGGCTGAAACGGGTGTCTCTCGAGAGGATTCCAATCCTAAAGATGCTGTGGAAGAAGAGAAAGAATGTCTTCAAAGTGAGGCCGGGTTGGAAGGCTTACAGGATGCTCCTACAGGTCCGCAGGTATCTGAGGAATAAAAGCCATAGCACGTGCCAGCACGGATGGTCCTCACCCTGGCAGGTAGCTGGAAAACTCACGTGAATGTGTCCTCATTGCCTCGTGACACCATGGCAGGATTCCATGTTTCACAGAATAGATGTTTACAGGCAAAGCTCTGACTACTGTGCCCTGATTTCCTATTGATTTCTGTTCTGCAATTGAACAGATATTCCTATGGAGATTTGTCTCCTTCAAAATACGGGAAAAACATTTCTATTCCCTTTCTGAGGCTGGCTCCCCAGCGAGTGTTCTCAAAGGAAAACAAATTCCCTTAAAGAAGAAATATAAGCTTTAGGGAACAAAGGGACAAGTGGAAAAGGTAGGGGAGAGAGATTTTCAGGAAAGAAAAATTTTATAGCCACAGGGATGGGTAGTTAGGAAAATCATAACTTATATGTAAATAAAATACATATAAATAGCATTCGCAATAGTGAAGCTCTGCTTATTAAAATGCAGTGAAATGAAGAAAAGCTGTATGCTAGAGGATCTCTGCCATAGTTCAGCCAATTGTAGTTTCATGTAGAAATGATCTTGAGCAGTTTGAACTTTGTGTAGTTCCCATAGTGATGTTTGTATTTGCACCTTCAGAAATGTCCAATCCCTCAGAAGGAACTAAGGCAGGGGTCCCCAACCTATGGTGAGTTGTATAGTTATTTCATTTTATATTACAATGTAATAATAATAGAAATAAAGTGCACAATAAATGTAATGTGCTTGAATCATCCCGAAACCATCCCTCCCCGCCCCCCACCCTGGTCTGTGGAAATATAGTCTTCCATGAAAATGGTCCCTGGTGCCCAAAAGGTTGGGGCCCGCTGAACTAAGGCGTATCCAGGCTTATCTCAGCATGCACATTAAAAAAAAGATAACTTCCTGAAATTTTTGATTAAATAATGGCTAAACATACTGTGTACACAATTACTGTAAAACTAATTCATGTGCCATACTCCACCTGAAAAGCTGACTTTTATCTTCCTGTAAGCTTTTCATGGGGCTCTTCCTGTCCAGACACTGATTTATAACTGTCATTTAGAGAATGTCCTGCCATCAGGTTTTAGCGTATGTGATACTTAAACAGAGCTAGACTGTGACGTCTGAAGATAGTGCTGCGTTTCAAGGTTTCTTGTGTTGATTTTAAAATAAATTGTGCCTATGAATATACACAACTCATCTTGTTTCATAATTTATTGTTGTCGCTGGTGGCAAATGTTAGAGAAATATTAGGAAACTTAACAAATAGCAGGGAACTCAGCAAATACTGGAGAACAAAGTAATAATTATTTTAATATGTATAATTGCAGATCAAAATGATTAGAATTCTCACCTCACTTTGCTGATGAAATTCTTGTGTCGTGTTGATTCTCATCTTTTTTTTTTTTTTTTTTTCAGACAAGAGTCTCGCTCTGTTGCCCAGGCTAGAGTGCCGTGGCGTCAGCCTAGCTCACAGCAACCTCACACTCCTGGGCTCAAGC